GCGGAGCAATCTAGCCGTCGCGTTTTTTCGCATCGGGTTTGTATCATGGGAGAGGATGGAGTGCTAACTTCAGACCCTTCTGGGAAGTGGGGGGGGGGAGGTAGGGAGTTACGGACATTTTTGAAGCAAAAAGTTGAAAGCGTCGCTACAGTGAAATTATACAGAACCTCTTGGGCTCAGATGAGGCCATGAACTACTAGGACCTTTTGTGGAATAAAGAAATTCAGTCCTAATAAACCAACATATTTCTGTTTGTTTGTTTGTCTTAGCCAAATCATTGAGTTTCTACTCATAAAATATCGTAGAACTCCCATCCCAGAAGCGCTTCGCAGGTACTGAAAGCAGATTTAGACTTAGCTTTTTGTTGTTTATGCTCTATGAGATTGTATACATCTCATATGGGAGCGCCACTTCGACTAAGTACCCTGCCCTTATGAGACATGGGCCGATAATGTAGCTACCTCAAAAGCTTTACGAATCACCACAAAGCGTTTGTGTGAGCGGTCTTCTGAGGAGGATGACCTGACACAAACAACATCCTGTCGGACTACACAGTACGGATTTGAGAATGTCTTGCTTTAGCGACTCAGAGTAGTATTTTGCCGACAGACAGATGGACAGACAAACTGACAGAGATGTGCCTTTCATTTGTTTAGAGCATAAAAATGCGAAAAACAAAGAAGATGGATTTGTATGTACCAGTAATTATGCTCTCGAAAAATTACCTTATATTCAAGGTTAGCAGTGATTACATGAATTAGGCTAATAAAAAAAGTAGTATGCTTCTTTTGCGACTTATAGAACTCGACTGATTACAAAAATCTGGGTGCGTGTAGAACGAATAATCTTTCGCTCTTCTGTTGCCTTTACGCGGCACTGACTAGAACGTTTGCGGACAATTTATGAGATAGTGCTACAGCTTAAGCTGAAGTTCGATTTTGTGAATGGATGTAACCGATTGAAGTCTTCTTTCAAAAATATCTGTATATTGTACTCAACGTGTGCTCATTTGCTTTGGAAGTAACAGTATTTTGTATATCCACTATCGTAAGCGTGTGGCCTCTGTCACGTCCCTTTCTGCGAGTTTAGTGATGGACAAACTTCTAGTAGACATGTCAAAATATTTCTCGCTTTGCCACTGATTGATTTATATAAATAAGCAGAATCTGTGCAAACAGCACTTGATGGTTCTCAATCTTACAGTGACAACCTCTAACTGTAAAATTGGCTATCGAAAGTTTAAAGTGGACGCAGTTTTCGATTAGAAAGATTCTTTAGAAAAGACTCAAGTTCTTAGGCGCCGACTTCACCGGTCACGTGGACGACCGCGGAATTGCCGTGAAAGTGTCTCTCGACTACACTCAGTCGGATATTGAAGCAGTGTACCAGGCTATAGCAAGCGGTTTCACGTGAGATAGGCGTGAGATAATATGTTCGAACAAGTGGCAAACTGCTGAGCTACTTTTGTAAACAATACCGATTTCGGATCTCATGTCAGTATAAGTCTTTTTGTCATAAATAAAGAAATTAGCAAATTCAGCTTTTACCATGATTCAAAATCAATTCGAAATCTTTCGTGCTTGTATCGTTAATACGTACTGGTCTTACAAATTAACCTAGTTTATGTTTTTATTATTGTGATATCAAAAGATTTGGAAAGACCGCTGTGTGAGGCAGTGAGT